AACATATTAAGTTGCTTGGTGGGAAACAATCTAAGTAACGATATGCCTCCTTACGTAACATTTTCGGTTGACTTTTAGTTTTTAAAACCTTAAAATGTTATAAAATTGAATTTACTCATCTTCTTTTTATATTATCTTAACACTGATTATCCCTTTTCTTTCAGTGTGCATCCCAACTAGGATGCGATATGCTAGTGTGACTGTGACTCCTCGCTTCCCTACCGCTCCACCGACTCCCCTGCTGGAGCATTCAATTCCGATTCCGAATCCGAAGCGAATCCGGGCTCTCAGTGCTCCTCCATCGCAGATCTCTGTGCCGCGCTTGGCATTGTTGTCGCAAATGCGATAACTTAGCTACCAATATGCGTTGACTGCCAGCAGTTGGGGCAGGACAGCGGCGGATCCGGTGGAGTGCCAGAAGGAGTTCCAGGAGGATTTGGAACCGAGAAGGAGTAGCGTATAACTCACTGCACGCGTGAGTGTGGGTGAGCGGCAGCATATGCACGGCTGCATTTGTCAGCGAAGCACAAAAATGAGACAAAGTGACGCAGGCTGGTTGCCGCTCCTCGCTGCTGCTCCTACCAACCGCCAGTGCCGATGCCAATGGCAGTGCCAGTAACTTGAGCATAGAAATAAATGCGCATTTATGGCTGGCAATTCAAAAGTCTTTAAGATTTTCACATTCCATGCATTGTGTGTGTCTGCCAGGGACAGAAGTCGGACGGAGCCAGAGTCATTTTTTTATGCACGATACCCTGGGGAATTTCGAAAGTTAATGGGGTATGATGGTGAGAAGGAAGCTAGCTATACGTTTTGTTATATATAATGGATAAGGTTCGATTTTACAGATAAATTACATAAATTCAAACAAAGCTAATCAAGAATATGTTTAGATTAAAAATCTTTCTAATGGCACTATAAAAATAAAACAAAATTAAAGTACCTTAGAATATTAAGAACCATTCTAGCTGTATTTAAAAAAATTAATATATGTAGGATACCTAATGTTCGATCCTTTTTATATCCTCCCAGTCACCGCCCCCTCTTTTACACCCGCTGGTGCCGCCGCTGCTGGGACTGCGTGCAGTGCACATAAATCGAGATCCGCACCTTCCTTGCCATTGTCAGGACACGAGAGGATGGCTTCCAGTTCCAGTGCCTTGGTGCCTTGGTTGCCTTGGAGTTTGGCGGTCCGCCTTTGGCTTTCTCCCGGCTCAAATGGCTCCTAGCCTGGCTGCTGGGCTGGCGATGGCTCGGCTTGGCTGGGTTAGATAGCGATAGCGATGGCAAGTGGCATGACTATGACTAGGAGCGACATTGTGCGATGTGATAGCGAGGGCGGACCGGGACGGAAAGACGCTTTTATTGTCGTTGTAAATCGTTGCCGTACGTTTCGGCATTAATAAAAGTTAGCAAATAACTCGACATACCGAGATAGAGCAGGGCGCGCGATGGCCGCAAGTGAGGCGGCGGGTTTCGGTTTTCATTTTTATTGTGCTCGTCATCAAGTTGATTGTTGATGACTGCTGCCTCCAGCTGCCGGGCTCTCTCTCTCTCTTCGAGTCCTCTGGGAACATGAGACGGGCTCCCTGGTTCCTGGTTGAGGGTCTTTCACTCCCGGAGGCCGATATGCATGCCGGGCACAAAGAAATTGAGTAATTTGTTGGGTCAGGCGGTCAGCGTTGTGGTTTGCATAGCCAAACAGGTTCGCTTGTCCCCAGGCCTGGGTATTCGTCTCCCATCTCCCCCTTCCCATCTCTGATTGATGGCTGGCAAGGACTTGAAGGACTAGCAGGAAGCCAGGAATAACTGCATTCGAATTGCTGTTGTAGCTGCAGCTGAGCACGGAAGGGGTCTATGGACACGTAGCCAACTTAGATGAGATTCTGCAGTCCTAATCTTTTCAACTCCCTTTCATCGCCGGTCTGCCGAGCTAAACGTTCTGTTAAGTTGCCCATTTCAACCATAATCTGGGCAGTTTCTGGAAGGCAAATGGGAAATTTCAATTACGGAGAGCAAAGAGTTGCACAAAATGGAATCTGTCTATTATTTTGGTAATCCTCTCAAAGGACAAGAGAATTAAGCTTGTTTAGTTTATAATATAAAAGGTATATGCACCCTTAGCAGTAATATTTATACTTTATTCTAATTACAAACTATCACGATCTATCTGATTCCCATTTCCTTGTTTTGATTAAGCAATTATTTCCCCATTTTCCACTCTCCCAATTTCGAATGCTATACTGTTTCGATCAGTTGCTGTCACTGGGTCCTGGCTCTGTGTAACGTGACCCTAGATAAGCCGGCACGCACAGACGCCTTCCGTCAGCAGCCGAAGGACTCTAAATTGCAAACACACAATCTCCTAGGCGAAATGAGAAAACAACGGCGAAAAAGGCAAGGCAAGGAGCCGCCTGGCTCCCAGGTGAAGTCAGCAGCAAATAGATTAGGCAATGAATTGATGCATACCTGCCAGACAACCAGGATGCACGAAGGACACCCGGGGGTGGGCGGATGCCTGGGGGAGACAGAGCCGAGCAGAGCAGCCGAGAGTTGTGATAACCAAAAACCGCAAGAACCGGCAAGAAGTTGCCTCGAGGAGCAAAAGTCACAGCCAGAGCTGCATATTGAGCAGAGCCTGATAAAGGGCTTTGGGCCCCGCCATGAAATTGGTTATTTTAACTCTTGCACTTTTTGTTCGCCTTGGACTTGGACTTGGCTTGGAGCAAGTTTCCTGCGGTAAAGCCAGGTCCATGTAGATATGCAAACGCCACAGGAAAGGTGGCATCACCAGCAGCAGCAGCAGCCGAAGATTAATGGGAAAAGGAACACGACGAATTCGGGAGCGAGAATAACTCGGATCTTTAATGAAGGAAAGCTTAAGCCGGGGCTTCAGTCTCAGCTTTAGCTTCAACTTTTCAAATGGCATCTCGTTAGCGCTCAAGTGATTCAACAGAATGCTTAACATGCCTAATGTCATCTGACACACAGCGCTCAAATTAATAGCCAGCCACTTTTCACCTGACCAACCAACCAACCCCACGGCTGGCTTTACCCCCGGAAAATTCCTACGCACAATGAAAACGTTACGTCGCGTTACGTTTTCCCAGCGACATTGCGATGTTCTTTCGGCTAATCCCCAGCACACACAACAGCAAAAAAAAAAATATATAAAATAGGACGGTAAGGGCGCTCAAGTACGGAGCGTTTATAACAGAGCCTTAACAATTCCACATAATAAATGGCCACGACTCGGTTCAGGAGTGGTTCCTGGTTTCGCCGATTTTATGCGTTTTTCCCTCTATACAGTACTTGGCAATAAAATGTGAAATGCGAATGCCAAATGTAAGCAACTTACACATATGCACTGGGGGAAAATTAGCAAAGATAATTTGGTAATTAAATGTAGTTAAGAATATTTAAAAATAAGAAAAGATTTGATGGATTTTATGCTTAAATTTGAGGAATAATTGTTTTTAAAGAGCTTATTTTATGCGAACTCATGCTAAAATTAATGAATTTAAAATTTAATATGTCTCTAGTACTAAAATAAGAACTAGTTGAAAAGTATCTTTAGGTGCTGGAATTCCTTAAAATCTTGTTAACAGTCAACAGATTTTTAAGTATTTTAAACAACAAACTTCTTTTAGAACGAAAGTAATTTTTTATTTGAATACTAAGCTGTAATAAAATGTATAGTTTTTAGTTTAGTTATACATTTTTACATATTATGGAATAAATAAAAAAAACTCTAGTCAAAGTCATACTTTTAAAGAGAATCTTGATTTTGTTGATCCCAAAACAAATACGTATTTAATTTCTAATTTAAGAATACTCAAAAGTGAGTCTTATAGACTCTTAATTGTATAATTTTTCCCAAAACCTCCAGCACACAAATTTCTCTCAGTGTCCTGCTGCACACACACAGGCATACATACATGTAAAGGAGAGCCGGCCATTATGACTAATGGTTGACATTTAACTTAATCTGCTTAAGATGATTATTGAAAATGAGTGCCACTTATGCCAAATGTTGCGTCATAAATATTCATGCACTCTCCACTCAGAACGAAGAAGTCGTCCAAGGAGTAGGCGTGGCTGCGGAGGCGGCCAGCAATGGGAATGGGATATAAGGCTGTGGGCCAGAGGGGAGTATGTGGAGCACTCGCATTTATAGGAGACGCCGCTGCTAATAGAAAGTCGTCTTTGCAGCGAAAGGCATAAAAACTTGCCAACATGATTTATACATAAACATACGTACACGGATTCCCCCGCACCCGAAAAAGCCAAAGCCAACATAATGCATATGTATGCCTCGTATTTATGTATATTTTTATGCCCTAAAAAAAAAAAAAGAGAATAAATAAAACTCATTTCGAATCTCTCGGTCCACAGTGCGTGCGTGCGTGTGTGGTGGAGTGCGTTGAGTCCAGAATTTGATTTATTGGAATCTGGCATATATTTTACAATTTAGCGGCCATAATTCATTTTGTCGGTTTTGGCGATGCGCTCCCGCTCTTCGAGTGGAGTGGAGCATTAAGATATGCATATGCAGTCCGACACTGATGATATACAATGGGGCTTACACACTCTCAAGAGATCCCCAAATGGGAGCAGGAGGGAGGAATTAACAGGCCGGCAGCGGAGATCCCACAGATTATTGGTATAAGGAATACTTCTAGGATTGGCTTACTAGTGGACGCAAAATTCATTGGGAATTAAAAAGGGGACAGCTTCAAATATGGGATAGAACAGTGGAGCAAATACACATAAAATTCGAACAAATTCTTGCTTTAATATATTTTTTGGCCTACAAATTGTATATTTCATGGGTTCTTTTCATTTTTATAAAGAAAATATTTTGAAAATTAATTGAAATGCGAAAAGTATTCTTCAGCCAAGTACCTGAACACTGCCTATGAGGAGCGTAGCCTTCTAAGAATCTGGTAGCAAAAACCTTTGAAATTGGACATATTTATAGAAATAACTATCTTCTGCAATTAATTTCGAATAATTTTATTTGTCATCCTAGAAGGTTATTGCCAAAAGTTTGTAAGGAGCACATCTCGAGCTAGCTAAATTAACTACCATTTTGTTTACGATTTTGCAACTGGAGGTTTCGGCGAGGGACACTTTTTGGCACATATCGGCTTGAGACCTTTCTTTTGCGATTTCGGTTTCTTGGCGATCCGGGGCTTGAGGCATTTCCTTTTGGATTGTATGGACTTTGGTTTGCTGTAACTGCGCTTAACCAAATTGGAACAGACCTTATCACAGGCCTTTCTAATGGCGCTGCTACTTACTTTGCCAGCTGAAGATAGCGTGGAGCTTGATGTGCCATTATCGATACCGTCTCTCTAATTATTATTATTTTTTTATTTATTTTAATTTCTTAGGAATCGGATTGTAATCAACTTACAGGAGCAAACACAGCCCGCTCACGTTTGGACATTTTCATCCAATTGGACCTGGCATCCGTTTGTACTTTTAAGACCCACTCATCTAGGAAGCGGTTAAAGCCAACATCCTCTACCCCACGGTTAGGCTCGCTGATCGCCAGTGTTGAGTCAGATTTCAAGCTTGAACCCTCGCCGGGAAGCTCAACCTATAGAAAGGTTGAGGAAACCATGGAGCGAAGTATCTGTAGACACCTCTTACCTTACTAGACATTTCAGACTGTGGCTCTTCTATTTCTAATTTCGGCTCAACAACGGTGTTTTCATCCGAGCACCCGTTCTTGTATATCTCCACGAATTCTGCAAACCCAGTATGCAGAACCTCGGAATCTGTGGCCTCAAGCCAAATACTATTCTTCCACTCGTCTGAATTTGAAGTGTTCATGATTTTCAGGTGAATATGCGCTTTAAAAATGTCTAAATTAAGTAAACACTTTTACACTGTAAAATTTTTGTAATAAAATTGAAAAGTTTTATACAAAAAAACACAAATTCTTGAAATTTTCTTTTTAGAGAGACTTGTGTTTCGTCTGAGGCGATAATTTAGAATGAATGTAGATTCAAGTTGGCAACTATACAAAGAGGAATTTCAGTTTGAATTCAAAGTCAGCAGTTGCTTGACTGGGTTAAAATTTATTTAAAAACAGTTTATATTTATGATTTATAGAATCCGAGACTGCCTGCCCCAACTTATTTTAAATTTAATTTCAAATTTAAGCAAAAACTGTTGCTCGACGCTGGCTCATCCGGCGGTGACCGAATCCCTGGCACCCTTGCCTGCCGTGCTCCCTTCCGCTCCTTTCGCTCCGACGCTCAGCCAACAGCTGTTTGCTGGAGGCCGTTCCAGGGGTCACAGTCGGGTTCGGATTCGGGGTCGGGGTAGGCATCCCTCGGCCATATTGCACTTGCCAGAATGCCGTGGTGCCAGGACCAGAGCCCGGCTCGAGGGCGTAGATTTCGGGCCAGGCCTGCGGTTATGTTAATGAGCTTGCACACAATTAGCAGCTGCTGCTGATGCGCGGCAAGCAGGCGGGGATCGGCGGAGGCACTCCAAACGGTTTCCATGTAGTGGCATTTGTGCTTGTCACTTCAATTATGGTAAATATTTAATGCAATGGGCGAGGCTGCGGAAGAGGGCCGGCAGCGGCTGAGGCCGCAGGGCGTGACCATATAATAATCAACGCAAAATCAGTTGCGCATTCTAATAAATAAATAAATAATCCTGGTCCTTGCTTTAATTACAGAGGACGCAAAATTAAATTGAAAATAAAATGCAGCAGATTGTGTTGTGGGGATAGCGAGGGGGGACAGCTGGGATTGGCCAAAGGATAAAGGATACCAAAGGCCGTATTAGGGCAATTGATATGCAATGCTCTCCAACATCGAAATGTTCAATTAACTTTGTATGTGGAATTAGCAAACCGATTGTTGTTGAACTGTAGCTAAAATGTTTTATTATTTATGTGGACTCCCCAGTTGAATCAATTTTAAATTAATTTGCAAAAGAGGATGTTTACGGTAGCGATTGAGAGTTCAATCATTAAAACATTTCGGAAATTGAGTACTGAACGATCTTATTAACTTAACAACTTATTCTTTGCTTAAAAAATAAATACAAAACATTACATAGATCCCGAATTCCTGGGCATTCCCCTTGTCGAGCATTGTGCTCTGATTTTGCTTTGCTTTTTTTTCCTCTCCGTGCGATACTTCGATAAATTGCATTCGTAATTTGCATTTGAATATTTCAAACACGAACCTAAAACCACTAGTCAGCCAAGTTGCTAGTCAGTCAGCCATGGCCTGGCATCATTTGAGCTATCGAACTGAAAAATGTCCTTTTAAATTACAAAATTGCAAATTAAACTGCAGGACTCGCTTGGAGTCGCAACAATCAGTTCGCAGTCTTTGTCCTTCGTCTGCTTCTCGGTCACATAATTCAATTCCAGACGAAATACATGCAATTTCTTTTGCCAGAAGAGAGCACAGCAATACATAAGTAAAACATAATTGAATTCAAATTTGTGCAATCGTAAGTAACTAAGATACAATTATGTACGTGGCTGGTCTGCTACGTTCTCTATTTCCCTCTGCCAGCCAGACGCTTCAGTCCCCAATCGCCCGTCTCCTCCTCGGCTGACGACTGTCAAGTCTCGTCATGACTACATTTTGACACACAATTGAAAGGCACCGAGGACACACGCACACTGCACACACACACACACACACTCACCCCCAGCCAGGACTCAGGGCTCAGGACTCAGGACTCGGGCAGACAATGAAACGTAATCACACTAATGGCTCCAAGAGCAATGAAGCGCACGTAATTGGTAAAGAGCTCTCTAGTAAGCGATGTAGGAGTGTTGAACACCGCTCCGGCATAGTGCAGTGTTGCATAGTGCCGTGATAGTGGTAGTGTTGCAAAGTACTTTGCTAAACCCCAAAGGGATTCTAGCAGCAACCGATCGTGAATAAAGTATAAATTCCCTTTAGTCGAAGATAATTTTAAAGTAAACATTTATTATTCCAGTAAATAATTTAAATACAAATTGTATTTAATTAAAAATAGTTTGCAATCAAGAATTGGGTCTTTCAATTTAGCTCATTTTTTTGGATCTTAGAATTTGATAATCGAGGCCTCTCTTCACGGTTTCATTTGTAATTGAAATAATATGCATAAATGTTTCAAGTAAGCTTATGAAAAGTCTAGCTAATAAATACCCACTCCTATTTACTTTCTTTTTAAAACTTTAAGTCAACCCGGTCACCAATAAATTCCAATAAAATTCAGGAGCTTGACTTCTTCCGTTATGACTGCCAATCAATAAGCACAGCTGACTATTGTGTCGCATGCATCTGTCTCTATACCATTACTCTGCTGATTGCAATCTACAAACGGTGAAATTTCCTTGGAAATCACTTGCACCGTAGCACCGAATCCGCACCCACATACACCCACTACCACTATGACACCCTCTCCCCACACGCTCCTGCCCAGATCTATTATGTAGAACACGCTTTTGTGTCGCTATATTGGTTAGCTTCGGTGGTTGGTGGTCCTGCAGTTTCAGTTTCGCAAACAGCGAAAAAAATGTATTTATTTATTTTAATTTAATTCATGTATAAAATAAATTATAAAAAATGAAAATTAAATATTACATTAATTTAAAAGGACTTGCTTACCTTTGATCTACGAGTGACGGTGGCTGCTGGTTTTGCTTAATCCACATATTTTACACTTATAGAATTTTCTTTCTGTGTCTGATGTGTCCTGAAGAGTTTCGGGTCCCGGCGGGGCTGCCGATGCGTTGCATTTTCGTATAGCATAGTTTCTGGGGCGTAAGCAAAAGTCGTTGACGCTCGTTACCATTACCGCACCGCACTGCACCGCATACACTCACACAGTCGCAGAAATGATGACATGTGATGTGATGTGAAGAAACCTGCGCGCCAAAGAAATGCAATTACATGTTACCGTTGCTTTCTCCCCGCTCAGTGCATGTGTGTGTGTGCGTTAATGCGTATACCCATGTGTGTGTGTGTGTGTGTTTTATTAATGAGTTGAGTTTCAGTTTGAGTTTGAGTTTGAGTTGGGACGAGAGTTCGGGTCCTGTGCTCCAACGTTCAGCGCTCTGCAAAGTTATGTCCCCAGCAAAGTTGCAACTTTCGAAGCGGCATATTGAAAAATGATGCAAGTGTCTCCATTCTCTTGCTTTTTAATGCGAAAATGAGCGACTGTCAGTGGGATAGATGGATATACGAAACGCAGGGAAATTGGGGAAGTTTTGCACAGAAGAAAATTATATATTTTCTAAAAAATTATAGTTTTTAAATGGGATTTGGATTTGTAGATCAATACGTAAGACATCCAACAATAATATTTAACAATCTTAGTATTAGGTATTTCTCTTTATAAAAATTTCTTAATCGGGGTATAACAGCCATCATTAGAGGTTTAAAATCCTTTAAAACGGTGCCCAAAACTATACTACAAAAATTAAATTAATGGGTCCTCAAGCATAGAAGGGATTTAAAATTCTAGTGATTCTAGTACGATTTTCTTGGGTTTTATTTTTTAATTACACTATTTTCTAGTCATTCTGTACCTTTTTTTCTAAGTAACATATCTTAATAATTAATCTTCTTTAGAAATAAAAAAAAAATACAAAGCAAGATCAAAGCAAGATTAAAAACACATAACTTTTATACACATTGATTTGGTTCTTATACATAAAATGTAATATTTACATAATGAAAATTATCTGAGGACACCTTCTCTGATCCTTAACTATTTTTTTTTTTTTTTTCTGAAAGTGCATTCCTGTGCTTTGTGATGGAAGAAAAAACCGTCCGCGTGGTGGTAAAGATGGGGAGAGTAATGAAAAGTTTTTGCTGCTGCTCCTTAAGAATCTCGAGAAATGTCGTGTGTGTGGTAAATTAAAAATCAATAACTCATTTGCCAAACGTCGTCAGGCAAAGTAACACAAAAGTTGTCATAAGCAATAACGGCAACGATCATCAGGCCCCCCAGATAACCATCATGATGAAGATAGGGGGCTTAAGGTGTACGCTTTTGTAATTTGCGCCGCTGCTGAAAGAGTTATGAACAATATTAAAACAGGTTGGGTTTGGGGTTGGGGTTGGGGTTGAGTCTTGGCTTTCCTATTGAAAGTTGCAATGAGAATCTGGGGTAATGGGCATTAAGGAAAGTTTTTACGGTTTCAGCGAGGATTCTTCCATCACAGGAAGTTTCTTAATGAGTCGTTGGATGATTAACCAAAAAGAAATGGAAAGATCAAGCATATACATATTGTTGGGAGTAAAGACCAACTTAAACTGAACTTTAATCTGAAGGTGCTATCTAAACACTTTGGGTGATTTTTGAAATTTATTATTTATAATTTATACATACATCAAAACAAGCTTTGACTGATCAACACCTGTTGTTTATAGCTCTTAAATATCATTAAAGTGACCATTAAAAGTACCATGTTTAACTTAAATCACGTAAACAGTTAAATATAGTTTATATAGCTGACGTTTTCAGCTCAATTGACCCCCCACTCAGCACTGGGAATCGGTTAAACTCCACTCTAATCCGTGTAATTGATGCAGTTAGCTGTTAACCTACATTCCAAACAAGGCCAGTCCAATCACCTTGCCCGAAAGTGCATTCCCACTCGATTTTGGCCCACACACCGGATGGGATGGCGGGGAAGGTACTAGATGTATCACAGAGATCCCATCGCATCGCCGAACCCAGTCTGGAGCGGAGGAGCTGGGAACCACAGAACTGACAAATAATGCTAATGAGCGTACAAAAACTGCCATTTGCTAACCAATGAACTTCCGTCAATTGCCGTCGAGTAGGCCACGGCAGTTGGGCGAGGGGACTGCGAGGGGGTTTCGTTTCGGCCAAAGTGGATGTGGATGAAAATCGGACGCAATGGCGGCGCTTTGCCAAGTACCTCCGACCAGGCAGACACAGCCGAAATTTTGCAGCACTCGCCCGCCTCCCTCCCTGGGCCACGAGTAAAATAATAGTTAGTAGGGCAACCGCAGGGCAGGCAGGAACCG